GATCTCCAACATCTAGAAACAAAGGTGTTGATGGCAGCAGCACAGCTGATATTTCTCTCCAGGATGGAGTCACAGCCAAACAGGAACAGATCAGATGAAGCTCTTATGAAAGCATGCGTATATAAATATTCAATTCAATTAAACAATACTGAATAAACCTCGTGGGCGGGGTCAGTAGCCCCTTCATCCCCAGCTTGGGTCCTCTACCAGAGGCCTGGGAGCTTCATGGTTCCTCTCAGTATCTTTTCTGTCCCTAGAACTGCGCTTTTCTGTACTGAGATCTCTGATGTTTCTCCAGATCTCTGCTGGAGCGACTGTTCATTTTTTCCTGATGTTTTTATCATTTGGGACGACCACTACAGCCATCCTCTGCCTCTTCTCAATGATCACAATGTCCAGTTGTTTGGCCACAACCATTTAGTCTGTTTGTATCTGGAAGTCCCACAGATCATAGCTCTGTCAAACTCCGCCACCTTGGGAGGTGGCTCCCATTTTGACCTGGAGTTCTCCAGTTTGTATTCTGCACAGATGCTTCTGTACACTATACCACTTGGTTATGACACTCCATGTATTGTTTTCTCCTGCCAGTATCCTGGCAGGTTGTTTCTGGGGCCTCTTTGACTTACCTGCTCCTGGGATCTTGCTTGCTGATGTAGATCTGGGCTTCTATTGCTCCGGTGCTCAAGGCCTACTCCTGTGCTGCCCTTCAGTCAACCATCTCTAGGCATTAGCAGGATTTCTTGATATCATGCTTTCAGCTATCTTTTTTCCTCAGATGATCGTTTTCTCCAGTTCCTTCATTTCTAGCTTCTGCTATCTGAAACATTCACAAAGTGTTTGATCCCTTAGGACATATAATTGTGATTTAATGGACAATTAGGGGCTGGAGTATAGGAGCCATTACATGTTCAGTTAAATGTTTGAATTTAGATTATTTAGTTTGTTATTTAGAATAGGTTTTTGGTTTTTATTCACCTTAATTAGGTAATTAAATTTAGCTTGGGATGTGGGTGTTTCACAGTATAAATAGGCAGGTTTTAGTTGGCTCATTATGTGCGTGGGCGGTCATGTGGTTTTTACCAGTTTTCAGTCTCAGTTTTAGCCTCAATCAGTCAGTCAGTCAAAGAAGAGGTGCAGAAAGTGAGATCAGTAAGAGAATCCTGTGAAGCCTGTAAACTGTTTTTATCTGAACGGAGAATAAAGCAAGAAAAGAACTGGATTTTGATCTTTTTTTATCCTTTTGGACGGACTAAGCCAGAATCCACGCTGCATCAGGTGACTGTTTGAGTTAAATTCACCTTTTGCTTTGATCACCTTTAAGTCTTAAGTTTTTTAATTGTTGAATTTTAGTTTTGTACAAATAGTCACTACATTCTCTGATGTAGGTTTTAATGTGTAATGTTTATTTATCAATCTGCTGGTTGAAGGTGGTTTGTTAGCAGATTTAAAAAAAAAACAGAGTGAAAGTATTTCCTTTTTAAGCGCTTCCAGTGTTTCCAGTTGCTTTAAGAGGCATTCAAATTTACAGGTCAAGCGCCCCTAGTGGCTAAAAAACAGCATCACACAGTGTTGCTTTAACATCTGTTTATCCCAGTAATGGAAACATATTCATACCTACTGATGTCCTCACCCCCACCCTACAGCCTTTTTTCTCTGTTTATAGAGATAATATATTTACCTCTCATTGGCTACCTGTTTCCCACAGCCTAATTCAGGCTAAAATACCTTAAATTCAGGCAACAGCACAATAAAAGGGAGATTTTCTTGGTTTCAGTTCGACATCTTGACAACTTAGAGATTTACAGCAGCAGTGGCAGTCATAAATAGAGGGCAGTCCATGGAGAGAGCTCAGAAGTCAGTTATTAAATGCTGTTGCAGATTGAGTGTGCTTGTAGCTCAGAGGAAAGTGGCCAGAAGTGCCGGGTGATTTCTTTTTAAATTTTCCTACCCAAGGATCCGCTGACAGCTTTTATTGAGGCTCGGTACCCTACCCGGCAATACCTGTTAATGTATCCTTGAGCAAGAAATATAATGCGGCCCTGATCCCCTGCAGCAGCAGCTTTCCTGTCACTAAACAGGCCAGTTTCTTTCTTTTAGTGCAGGTGATTGATCGTACTGCCAAGTACATGTGAGAGAAATTTAATTTTTAAGGTGTTTGGCACGGTTTGCTCTTTAAGTCCGTTAAGACCTTCAGTGTTTGCTTATTGTTATGTTATTTTGTGGCAGCTGGAGGAAAACAGCCATATTTTTTAACCATAACAGCACATCTGCTGCTGCTGGTGTTGTAAAGCTGAGCAGCGTGTGCGGCGCGGTCGGTGTGAATGGGAACGTAGCCCGCGGCTCAACACCTGGTGTTTAGCTTCCAGATTTACACCTCAGGAACGGGCTGGACGTCGCTTCTGCCGCTCCCGTTTGCCTCTTTGCCGTCTTTCACCTTCAAACCTGGTTTTACTGCCTCCCTCACCTCTCCTTGACGCATCGACGTTTCTTTGATGAAAGAGAGATTGATAAAGAAAATAAAATAATGGATGAAAAACATTTAAAAGCCAAGGGCGTATTGCTGGAGACTAAAAAAAAGTGGGGAACGCGATTGGGGAGCTGGAAAGAGGAAATGATGATTTGGAAAAGATTGAGAGAGGAGGGGAAGAT